ATATTTGGAGCTTTGATCTTTTCTGGTCTCCGGTGTACATTTCGGAGCAGCACGTTCATATTCGCGAGAGGAAATATCTTACCCATATTAGGAGATTCAGTACCCTCAACAACCCGGAACCGTCTTCCTCTGCGTGATATAGCCATAGGGACAATATTCTGAAGCAGAAAATTAAAAACTAATAATAGTAGCGATAAAGGAATAAATTCAGAATAATGAAAGTACGAAATGTCGTTCAGTTTCCCGGCTTGAAATGTAAGCTTCGGGTTTAAGAAAGGCAACAATACTATGCTGGATTAAATATTTAACATTTCATCATCCGATATCTTATGAAGATGGGAGGATACTTTCCCCCTCCTTCCGATATTTTTAAAATTTATTTCGTGCCATCTCTCCAGGCTGAGCGTAGCTACGGGTGTTATTCCCCAGGCATTCGGTACATATTCAATCACCTGTATTCAAAGTGAAGAGGTATGGAATAAATATTCTGGAAATTATGGAAATCCTCTGCAAAGAGCAGCATCTGCAATGCATGTTCGGATGGAAAAGGCCATGAGGTAAGATGTGTGTCCTGAATTAAAAAAGGGTAGCCTGATCGGGTAATCAGCATCTGATTTGTGCTGATCAGGCGGATGCATGTTCACCGTTCATTTTCTAAGAAATACATAATACATAAAGCAGATAGGAAAAAATAGTAAAGAAGCAGATACCGGAGACCAGAAAGGATCTAAGCTCCAAATCTTGTCTAAAAAGGATGTTTGATGAGACGAGCTATTTTGGAGATGCTTGAGAGAGACGGAACGTTGCCTGACTTCCTTAGAGTGGTGAGATTGAGGATGGTCCTATTTGGGGGAGTATTATACTAAAATGAAGGCTCACAGCTTCAGGATGTATACCACCGGTTAGGGTCGAATCTAAACTACAAATCTTGTCAGAAAGTGGTTTTTCGTCAATCGTGTTATTGTCGAGATGTAGGAAGAGAAGGACGGCGTCTGATGGAAAGGGAGACGTATGATAAGAGGTTTTATCGATTGCGTACGTTTTTCTTCCTTAAACTTGGTCAAATAGCCAAAAAAAATTATACCACTGGATAGGCAGACTCTGGGCTACAAATCTTGATTGAATGCGGTTTCTCGAAAACCGGACCGTTTTCGAGATAAAGGAGGGAGAAGCGAGGCAACCCTTCGCGGTCCATTGTTGAGTACGGAAGCACGTGGCATTGTTTCCCGAACTCAACTGCTCTCCGTCCACAGCCAATCAACGCACAGTTGCGCATAATCCACTTGGACTCCGTATACCACAGGCATAAGGAAGAGCTTCATATACCTCGTATACTCATTCTCCTAGAGTTTGAAGCATTCGAGGACTTCACGAGAAATTTACCTAGGGAAAGTGTAAAATGCTCGCATCTGGATTTTCAGCTACGCGTCGCATGTACACTTCGGAGTGTACAAGTTCCTTTCCGCGAAGTAATGATGGAATAAATAAATTACTCATTCCAACGTAGAAACTACATTCTCAAGAGCCGCTAGAAAAATGGAGGCCGGAAGAAAAATACTGATCAGCATTTCCATAAAGCTGCACTCACGTCACTGCACTCATCTACCGACGACGAAGCTCGAATTCAGTTGAGGAGAAATCCTTTGTATTAATAAATAAATCTCATTGGAAGTAAAACTTTTTATTTGTGGTTGACTCAGTTTTGCATGTGCAAAACTGATTAGATGAAAGTTCCATAAACAGGAAGCGTGAACGCGACCAGTGAAAATAAGACCGCATTTGGTACAATACATGGGGATAGGATTTTGAAGCACGAAAAGGTAGAAGGGAAGAAGGAAAGCATATCCCTGTCCCAGTCACACGTCCAGACGGCGAGACAGGTCGAGAAAGCGAGTGCAAGGCAAGTCCTGGCACAAGAGTCTGGAGGGAAGGGGGGTGAAGGGGGAATAAGAATAAAGAATGTGCGAGAGGATGTGCGTGAATGTTGTCGTCTGCACATGACGTTTTAGGGAGAGGAAAAAAAAAACAAACTTCAACGTGGATGAAGTCCCACCAATGGATAACCCTAATCCTAGAAAGACGATTCAAGTACCATCTGAATCGTAGATCATTCTGCTACATGATGCGCGGAAGCAGCTGTGCGCATTATGCGAGTAAGGAGGCATGCAGGGGAAAACATGACCGTTTTCTGCAGGATTCTCCGACCTTGGCATCAGTCAAATCACAATAAATCAGAGATTTATGAATATTTTGGCGTATAATTGGGCAGAGCCCTTCATGACAGTCGTCTCTAAGGGAAAAAAACCTAGGCAGGTGAGAGACTGCGAGGGGAGCGGGAGGGAGGAAATGATAGTGCGTCGTCTGCTACAATTTACATGTGCCGGAACAGGGATAAAGTCCCCGCTTCCGGCAGATTTGCCTGTTCCCACCATCGGAATTTCCAGATTGTCCTGCAGGGTAAAGAGGAATTCCGAGCAAAACTGGAAATGTGAACTCTTTGAGTGCCAGAAAAACTTGCAATTCGTTCTGGTGCTAATGCAATTGCTCAAGGAGGATCCGTATCTAGGATGTTCGCTCCGACTGCATGGGCCAACTGATGCGTTGATCTTCGGGGGCTGCGCTGGACTGCTGCCAGCACCTTGGCCACTGCTACCTACGTACGGCATGACCTTGGACGCCCAGGTGGTTCATTGCCAAAGACTGAGCTAGTCCCCTGTCATCTAAACCAGGATGGTCTTGTACGTAAGAGGGAGCATCACACCGGTTACATTCACGTTTGAATGCCTAGTGGGTTGAAACGATGGAATTAGTCCGGATAAAGAGTTGTGCCACCTCCACGCGCCCCTTCTCCGAAAAACTCTCCATTGCTGACTAATCTCCGGGATGATTTAGTTGATTAGAGACAAGGCACTTCCGGGAAATGTATCGCTTGTCACCATAACATGGAAGACAATCCTGGGAGGTATCTATCCACCGCCCTGTATATCAGAAGGGCAAAACCATAGCCTCACCTGGCGAAGGGTCCATCTTCAATGAAGCCGATTACACCCTCTGTTTGTCTCCAGACGGTGAAAATCAATGTTATGCTTTCCCATCGTGCATGGAATATATTAAAATGGGCTGTCTGTTTCAAAGATTTACATGGAAACTGGTGCGTTCCTGTATTTTGTAGAGTCGATGTCGAGCATAGTGATGGCGTCGTAATAGGAAGAACATGACCTATGTATCGAGGTCAATAGTTTCATTATTTATTCTGTCCCTCCGAATAATTACTGCACAAGCGACCCATGTTGTGCCGAGTCATAAGCCTGTACATGAACAGTGGCGAGGCAGTAAAGTGGAGGGGAATTGTCCATAATCGTTGCGATCATTATTATTTAATGCGTCCAGAAGAGGAAGTAGTACAGGCCACATACGCAGGAAATCCACGAAGAAACGCGTGATGGGCTTATTGAGAGGCGATGAGGGTATTCATTGTATGATCTCGAATTTCGAAAACGGGCGAAAGAGACTTACGGACGGACCTTTTGAAGGTATGTGACGAGAACTTAAGTCACGTTGATTGGCGGAAATATTGTAAACCCCATTTCCGCGAATGTTATAATAATTTAGATCATTATCTACTTGGTCTTATTGCCAGTTCCTTCATTGAGGTTTTGTCTGTTGCATAGCCTGCGTCCTGAAAAAAAAACCAATGTGACCTTTACCTATGAATCTGCTGTTTTCTTTACGAGATATGATTCACGCAGCATTTCTATGGAGTTCTAATGCAACTCAAAAAGCTGTAGCCCTATCTCCATAAATCCCTCAAGGATATCCAAACAATTTCAATTAGGTTCACATGAAATCAACGAATATCTGCCGCTGATTTTTAAATCCTAGTGAGTTCCTTCTTAAAGAAGATATGAGGAACATGTTTGAAGAATAGGCAGGGTATGTTATTCCAAAGGTACAGAAATAGGCATATTCCTGCATATTTTTGAGGCAATGAAAAAACCTATAATGGATGCGAAGGTATCGCTTTAAGATTGACGGAGGAAAGTTTCAATATTTACAGACATGGTTATATATTTTTCCACAGCTTCTTTGTTTCCCGCAGTTCTGGATGGAAGCCTGGCGCCTCCCAGTCGCATTTCAGCCGATTCAGCGCCTGCAATCTCATCCGGAACGTGCCAAATGTAGATGAAGTGAAGGGTCGTTGTCCTTCAGCAGCGATTCTCAGGAAGGTTCTACAAGCACGACGTTATAATATTCAAGAAACCAATTAAAGATTTCCCCATGAAATTCAATTCTCACGTCGGGAACAGATGCATGTCTTCCCGTGAAGTGAAGGAAAATGCGATTTCAATGACTTCGTGTTCGTTCAATAAGGTGTCGCGGTTGCTTCAAAACGAGGAGAAAAACAGGCTTTAAGTAGTTACACAAAGCCAGCGGTTCAAGTCATATTTCCCCCTATTCTTTGATACATGCTGGGAAAAGTAAAATTTCATATTCATAAACGGAAAACCTACCATTCCATTTTTGCAACGTAGTTCCATTTTACGTCCCACTTTCTCTTACGAAGGTAATGGCCTGACGATGCAACGTTTTCCCTACCCTATTCGGGTAGGCGATTGGGAGCCCACCCCTCAGCAGGTTGCCTAGAGACGAATGTGTAGCCTGGAAAAGGAAGGCGGTCTCAATGTATTGCTCCTACGCGCTTCCAGAGCGCGAGAAATGCTTGAAGAGTCGAGGCGATGAGTTCCCGATGGAATCGCCGCCGCACATGGCATTCCCATGCGATTAAGACGCGATTGCTGGGGTGAGTCCATCTCATGATCTTCAACTTTGGAGAATGTGCCTGTAGATTTACGGGTTTAGCTTTAACACGATCACGGCAGCTTATGCTATCCATCTGCAAGTCCAGGAAATGTAATGAGTAACACTAGGCCTTAATCTACGAGACATAAGACATTTATTATTTACGAATGGTACAGCTGATCCGAGAGTTGTTGACAACCATGGCGTCAAGAAGGAAGCAAGCACACGACAATAGCTTCAATCTAAGAGAGGGATTAAAAACAATTTTAATTTTTGATACACGTAGTTAATACCGGAAGCCATTGGATGATGAACCATAAGTGTTCCAGATAGGATAATATTGGATACGGCTTGGAAGATGATCCATAAACTTGGCACGCAGGGCGGAAAACAATTAGTAGCAATTGCTTTTATTTGCATTTGAAAATACGAACATGGCCTATGAGCTTTCATTAGACAGAATTTTCCTGAAATTTTAGAAGAAAATGTAAGATTTTGCTGGCCTACCTTAGCATTCATTACAATATTAAGGTTAAAATTAGCATGAATTAGTACTATCTCTTTAAAAATTACATTATGAAATACCCAAGAGGCAAATTAAATGCTATATTAATTTTTTCAAATTCCAATAAATCAACGCCAAGATTCCAACTGAAGCTTTCTAACCATACTTCGGAACATGCTTTAAAAAAAAAGTGTTTTGCTTCCAGGGCATTGCTTCTGAAACATCAAACTACGTTATTATAGAAAAGCCCCTAGTCGCCGAAAAAACTCAGTCCGTAGCGCAAGGCGCACGCTACAAAACTCAATCTTCTACAGGTTAAATTCTAAACATTTAAGGCTGGACTCGATGGCTTTTCCTGGAGGAATTTTTATCTTCCATGAGGAAACCGATTCATCGAGTTCCAGATAAACTAAGTATAATTCATATACATGACTGACATGGAAAAATGAAGCCCTGCCACAAGTGCCACGCCATGTTCTGTTTCAATGCATCTTCTCTTGCACTTTAGAAGTATTAAACATCCATGATTACGGTTGCTGATTTTTTATTTCATCATCTGCACTTGCATGGCTCGATTTGACGGAAGTGAATGTGACAAAATGCAACACATTGCTGACTTGGTCAGCTTGGGTATGCCTGCAGGGAAAGCTTATACCATGTATTGAAATTAATTTATTGACCATAACCCCTGTCAAAACGGGATTATTTTTCTTCCAATAGCATCCGCGATGGGGGAATTCACACCCACTCCAAAGGAGATGCAGCGCTGGCAATGGACGATTTATTCTTGGGGAAACCTGGGAATAAGCATGATGTTGTCGATGATCTGCTCGAAAAGCAAGACTCTCTCAAGCGCGACGTCATGCAATTGCGGGGACAAGTAGAGTTTTTGCAACAATTCATCGGGGCTGCAAGCAGGTTTGAATGAAACTACTTGCCTCATACTCGAAGCGCTTGCGCATTGCGATTCCGTACTGCTGCAATTATTTTAAGTTGTTTCAGCTTAGCTGCATCTGGCATGGAGAACGTGGACCCTGGAGGTAATCGAAACATCTGCAAGCCCCAATATGGATCTGACGTGTTTTCTGGACAAGGTGGGGTGTAGTTATGTTCATATTCTCTCACCAGGTGAAAAAAGTGGCAACGTTTTACACCTAACGAAGCCCACGCCAGATTGCCGCTGCTTTAGAATCGTGGCCACTTTTCTAGAAATACCTTAATACCTCCCCCCCCCAAAAAAAAAAAGTACTCGACGGATAACGACCACTGCGATGAACGTGAGAGAAAGAGTCGTAAAAAGTTGAAAACGGAGTGGAATATTTATGTATTTAAAGTCATGAATTACGTTTTCACTACGTATGTTTTATCGATAAACCTCTTAATAATTTACATCACTGGAGATCTATGTGCATTAGGTGCCGTTCATTCACGAAAATGACAAGGTCATTGGAAAGAGTTCCGTAGTAATTCCCTTGCGCAAATTGTGGAGTGGTTCTTCTTAGATTCATTGACTGTCCAAGTTGTCCAGAATGAAAAGAAAAAAGGTGTGACACGCAGAATATGAATTTTATATAAGTCTTCTATAATATCTTAGTCATTGATGGAAGGCCCAACACCATTATCTCGTATAGGTGCTGTGGAAATGTGCTTCGCACATACACGTATAGTACTTCCATGGGCTTTCCTCTTCATCACAGCATGAAATCAGACATTTTCTATTCCAAATTCATTCGGTGTCTTTATTATCCAATTTTCCTCGAATAGGGGAATTTTTTTGCAATTGATGTTAGTCCACAACATACTTATTACATTTTACCGCGTACTTAATACATCTTCTCCCCCTTTTTTCTCGCAGGAACGAGCAACCATAAGCACTCTGTGAAGAAAAAATAAGCGAGAGTGGGCATATTGTGCTGTCAATAGTTTAAGTGACATGGAATACTACGCACTTATATGTACTCCAGGAATACCTGATCCGAAACAATCTTTTAGTTCTTTACTACTCCTGTACTTTCTCCTTTCCAGCATACTATGGTGCAGTTTTTAGTCTAGTTGGACTCCCCTCGGGTTCTCAAGGACCGTTCTCATGTTGAGGTGAAAGTGACAACAGCCATTATGATATTTCAGGAGCAACGGTTTCACCGATGAGCCACATTGGGATGGGACATCGGGCAGGGATCTGGAAGCTGCTCTGGATCCTCACATTATGTACAGCAGTCTCACTCGCAATTATTCAGGTTTTATCTCTTCCCCCACATACTTGATTAAGTTTACTGTCAATTATTCAATTTTATAGAACATTTTGGCGTGTTCTGTGCAGACGAAAGGGTTGATGGAATACTTCACGAGCAATCCAACGGCCCAGAATATACGGATCGAATCCCGAGCAAGTGTGGTGTATCCAGGAATCACTGTGTGTCCCGGGGTTTCGTTGAATTATACAGCACTAAATCTCCATAATGTGGATTCCCTTTCATACTACACTTGGTGGGAATTGGAGGGATTCTTAAACATGAGCTCCTTGGAAGCGCTCAATTTCCTCACTATGAAGGACTTTTCTAACATCGTGGAAAGCTGCCATATCTTTCCCCCTCCGTCCGGTATATTGAAATGTGGTGCCGGCAATGACTGGACCTGGATCAATGGCAGTCGTATCTACGAAACGGAAGGTAAGTCTGGTAAACACACTCTCTATCTCTCATGTTTTGGAGGAAAGGTGATGGAGATGACAACATTTCTCAGCGGGATACTGGAGAGAGTCACGGATTGTTGGTACTCTTTTTGAACAACCCCTGAAAGTTTGCTTCACTTTCCATCCTAATACAACATACCGTTTGCAACTTCCCTCCCCTGACGCCTTCATGGAGCTCTACTTGAATTTTCAAGACTTCGAAAATAACACGAAAGCCTATTACGAGATTCACATAGACTCGGTGGAAGAACCGTTCACGGAAGTGAGGAATGTCTCATCCTCGGGGCAGACCTTTTCCCTCACGAAAGGAAGCAATTACATCCTCAGTCTCTCTGTGAAGGACTATGCTTTCTTGCCTTCAGGAAGCAAGTGCAATGGAGACGAGAACTACGACTACCAGAAGGTAATCCGAGCCCAACCATGTCAGCTCTCCAGTTCTCTGACATTTCTAGAAAGGTGATCCAATGTAGTGTATGTGAATTTATAACCCACAGTGTTTGGAAATGGCACTAACGGAGAAGCTCTTGAAGGATGCCCCGTGTGTGAAGCCTTCAGTGTTACCAAGCCAACATGACCATGCAGACAAAAAGAGCCAGTGCAACACCACCCAGGACGAAGAAGATTTGATCTACTTCTACCGCAATGTCCAAGATTCTGATCCTGGATGTTTAAGAAAATGCAAGAGAACGACGTATAACTTGATCCCAATACAAGATGTTGCCGATGACTTGGAAAGTGGCGTGATCCAGCTGAGCATTCCTACCGCCGAAGTCAGTTGTTAAATATGTCAATTTCATAAAATGTTCACATGTTTTCCATAAAAGCAAAGGTCAGTGACCCTCAAATGCTCTGCATCGTACTCGAATAGCTTCAGCAATAAAGGATTTGAATTATACAGGGTTCTTGAATCTGAATTTAAAAAATGCATGATCCAATGCTTTTCAGCTGGAGATAGTGGAGGAGCAGGCGCTGACATCGGTGCCTCAGTTTCTTTCGGACATCGGAGGAATGGTCGGACTCTACCTGGGTTTCTCTCTTCTCAGTCTCTACGAATTCCTGGAAACTCTCATCTTGTGGTTGAAATCCCGATTCTTCAGTTTTCAAACTCGATCTGTACATCCATAAATTAGATGAAGTAAATATCCTTGATAATATATCCTCTCCTATAAATAACTACAGTAAAAAATGCAATGTGAAAACTGGGAATTCATGAATATAAAATATTACAAGTTTATTTTATTGCATGATATGTTCACGGTCATACGAGGGAGGTTCAGGAGAAAACGAGAAAATTATACTTTCTAAAGTGCAAACGAGTATTGCTTCTGACAGTTGAAATGAAATATTGCTTTGTTGCCACCTTTCCAAATGTTCACATTTCTTTTTAAACAGGTGCAATGGGTCACACCGTGATTTTAAGCGGTGGCGTATTTGGAAACTCGAGCCAAAGAAGTTATGAAAGGTGTTGTCGGATTTTGTAACATTTATTGTGCTATCAAATTGATGCCTCGGTGGCCTTAGATGAGCTCTTCAACAGCGTGCTTTTTCTCTGGCGTTACCGCTCGGTTTGCCTGTCAAGGCCAAGTGGCATCTTGGAGGTCACTGACCCCGTTTCCCAATTTCTAAACCCATTCAAGCATACGGGCCTGTGACATTAACATATCCCCATGCACATTCTTCATCCCACGAGAGTATCTCGACTGGCTTAACTCCCTAACAAAAATATGACCACAGCTGGTATCCCTTCCTTGATGCAAGTTTCCAGATGCGGCACCATTTTGAATTCACTGTAAGTGAATTCAATAGCAAGTGGCTATTCCCAAGCACCTTTTGAAAAATAAATGTCAGCATTCAAGTAGGAGCCAACGTTCACCATGCTGAATGCAGCCTGCGTTTGATATCCATTAAATCCCTTGTGATGGAAAATAAATTAATTTCCCCAGCAATTCAGCATATTCAGCAGCCTTTCATTTGCAATATAGCAGGATAGAGTATGGCAAGGCGCTCCATAAACCTAGTGCTAAATACGTTCCGAAATGTTAAATACCTAGCCGTTTTACCACATCGTCTTCCCCCCCCCCCCCCCAACAGCTACGCCTACCAAATGCCTACCCATCCCAATCACAAACTACAAGCTGGTACCCGTGAAACATTCACGATTTTGCATTTGAGGTGAATCGACTTCTGTCCCATAACACCTAAATGAAACACACCCCTGGGATTTTCAACTGCCTCATTTCGGATCAGTAACATTGGGTGCAACCCATTTATTCACGCCCCCCCCCCCATTCCCAAATCCCCGAATTTTCCTATTTACCAAATGTCAACAGGTTCAGTTCTATAATATTTAAATGAGACACGGTGTGCACATTTTGAACTTTTATGTACCACATGAAGGAGGGGAGATGCTCCCTAACCTCAAATACCTCCAATTTCCCTTCAGAGCAATTTTAAGAGAGTCCTGTCCCAGAAGATTCTAAATGAGATAACGTTCGAATTTCAAACTGCCACGATTTGCATCAATAATAAGGGATGCGTTGTGTCATAGTGCATTTTCATTTTTACGCAAGAACTATTCGAGATGAAGCACTGCAGTTTTTTAGATTATCAATAAAAATAAATTATCCGGAATTCGATTATTCCTTCGAAAGGATAAAATTCATCATGTCAACCAACAACCTCCGTAAAAATGCTTTTCAAAATGGTTCCCTCACACAGTGACACAAGCGAGCGGCCGCCGACGGCTTCGGTGACTTCTGCGTGGTTTAGTCTCAAAATGCCTTAATGGAGCGGCAAGAAGATAGGGAGCTCCATGTTAGAACTCGACAGCAATACAGTTCAAGATCGAGTTCTTGATGCAGCTGCCGCCACTTTTCATCCTGATGATGTGAAAAGCAATAGGCTAATATTGATTGATTTTTTGTCAAAGGTTTTGAAATTTGCATACATATAACATAAATAGTTCACTGATCCAGGGGAGTTAAAATCTCTTCAAGATATTGTCCATGGAATATTATAATATATCGTTCTTAATGTTTTAAAACCATTAGATTGATTTTAGACAATAGAGTGGCAGCATATTTATTACAAGCATTATTATTACGATAATCATTATTTGCCTCTGCATTCTTCGCATATTAACATGTTTTCCTGTGTTGTTTTCAGCTCTGTTACGCTTCTCCTTCAACTTGTTTAACGGTTTGGTGTCAATGATGGTCAGCGAATCAAAGAAGTGCTGGGAAGAAGAGAGCACGTTGAAACAGGAGGTTCAAGAATGTGTTGGAACAGTAATTGAGCAAATAGTGGTAACCGTGGTTCAAAAGACCAGCAATCAACAACGGCTCAAGGACACAAAAGAATTCGTCGCAAGGACGTTCTCGGATCGGGAAACAGGAACCAGAATCGTCCCTCCATGCAGCAAGGCTATCAAATCATCCCTTGTCAGTTTCCTTTACGAGTACGGCAAGGATAATAGGGTGCCCATGTGCATCGTCTACAGTCGGGGCATAAAGCAATTGGTGAAAACTCGATTTTCTGGAGGGTTGTACGAGAAATTCCAGAAGGTGGATGAAGGCGATCACGAAATTATCATCATAGATCGACATCGGGTTGCTTCTTCATCAAAGTGTGCTATATAGACAAAAAGCAGCAGAGAGAAGCGGATGATCCGAGGCTGCATTTCCTTCATCAAAAATGCGACAGAAAGACTTTAATCAGCTGAAGGCATCGATGAAGGAGGTAGGGATGGACAACAAACAAGTGAAGAAATGCTTCCAGTTTCATTTCCCAATCATCGCATTTCCTGCAGTTATAAACAAGGAAAAGCTACCTCAAAATACCCTGGTTCTTTATAAAGAGGAGTGTTGTTCCAAAGCGGCATTTGAAACCTGGTGGTATGAACATATCATCAGGCCCCCTGCAACGCAAAGCCGTCCAACACCAAACATTCCAACGGCAAAGGGGCCTCAACAAATGAGTTAAGGACAGATGTTTCCAACACCGCGGATTCAAAGCCCAAGGAATCAAACACGAAAGAGTCCAAGAATAAGAGACCTACCTTGGAGACAAATACCCATCTTACCCTCAAAGCCATGTAAAAACCTCACATTCCTTCGTTCACAATTTCTTATTTTCCAGAAACGTGCTTAATTCATTTTCGTTTAGTGTTATTTACGAATTCGATGACATCGTCTTCAAGGAAAAAGGACTTAGAAATATTTTTACAGCAGCTCTAAGAACATAACACGGCATCTGCATGTTTTAATTTGTTCCACGATGGTGGACGCATTCTTGATATACCTCAAATGTTTATTCCTTAACTTTTAAAGCTGAGATAGAAATGTATATTTAATTGTCGAAAGCTGAGTACTAGTTTATCCCAACGGCATTACATTATTTTAAGCTCGCAATGCTGATGAGCTTGAATTGCACTATTGCAACCAGCCAGAAAATGTTTATGACTCTGGAGAATTTCATTTCAGGGGCTATCAGTCATTCTATGCTAAGTGACGTCACAAAATGGTCAAGTCAACAATGGCTGATGAAAACGTCGAAAGTTATCAGACCATGAGAGCTCGGTCAGGAAAATTCACTAGGAAAATGTTTATCGTACCTTTCACCAATATAATCAATATTCCATGTCAAATAACTATATTTGACATTTCTAAGGATTTCCAATATCCATTATAATGTGCATGCAATATTTGATGAATATGGCACATTCTTTCCATGAATTGTGTATTGCCTTGGCATTAGGATCAACTCACCAAACAGTTGCCATTTAAATTCCTACGTTTCTGTTTTAGCTTCCGACATGTTTCCGACATATTGTTTCTCTCTTTTCCATGTGCCTTTTAAAGCCAGATTGTTATGCTTCTTTTTCAAGATTCGGGGCTCCAGTTTACGCGACTCCATTCTCGGAAACGGACCAGATTAACTTTCAGTTTCTCCGAGAGCGAGAATTGGACATTCTAATTAACAAACCAAGCCAGTGTATTAGAAAAGGAGACTCAGAATCCGAGAAAATGACGTTAATGAGGGAGAAAACTCGGAATCTCATAACAAAGTGGTTTTCCAAAACACAAATCACCGAAACGGAGCGTATCCTCATTCTTGGTCCCACTATAGCTGCTGTAAAAACGCTAGGAAATACAATCCGAGAATGGATTGTGAGATCTGCTATGGATGCCTATTCCACCTGGACCACTAAGTCATTATCAGAAAAGAGGAAGAGAGTTGAGATTGCTGTTCACACAAGCCTCACCTTTTGTGCACTCTCCAATGTAGAAAACGCCACGAATGATGTGACCAAATTTGACCAGGATGATTCTGCAGATGGCTCTATAGTTGGCGAACACTCCAAAATCATTGGGAAACCAAACATCAGTGAAGTCTCTATAATTCAAGATCTCAAAAGAGGCAATATTGGTTATAATATGAACTCACAGAATGAACAATCTGTGGTAAAATCACCACCTCCAGAAGACATTTCTATTATCAAGAAACTTTTTCAGCGCTTGATGGAAATTATCCTGCTCAGATTTATGAAGTCAGAGGTTGTTGCTGAGGAAGTTGAATTTAGTAAATGTGAAAGATGGGAATCTCTGAGGGAAAGTACCAGAGACGTTCCTATAAACGATTTTGAGGGTTGGAAAGCATTTTTGAAAATAGACGGACCCCTCATGAATGATATCTCCTCTATCGACCAAAAGCAATGCAAAGGAAATGGCAATTCGACTCGATCGAAAGAACAATACCAAGAAAATTATTATTTTCGTGGAGATTCCATTGAAATAACGGAATTACTGAAGAGTCTGGCTGAAATTCATCTCCTTAAAAGCATAATGGAAGCAAACCTCATTGCTGACCAAGAGAACGGCAATGAAGAAGAGCGAAAGTGCGAGTAAACAAGAATGAAGAGGGAAGAGTTTCAAAAACAATCTGTGGCCGCTGAAAAGTTTGTTCAAAAAGACAAAGTCATCATTTATCATGGTTGCTGGTTGACATGATGAATTTTATCCTTTCGAAGGAATAATCGAATTCCGGATAATTTATTTTTATTGATAATCTAAAAAACTGCAGTGCTTCATCTCGAATGGTTCTTGCGTAAAAATGAAAATGCACAGATTTTTTTTACTCACTGTCGAGATCTCCTTTCGTGCTTCAACCCGGTAGGAACACGATTCGAATCGGGCCGATGAAGTGGAGTTCGGAAAAGTTCACCCTTGGATTGCGTAAAAATGAAAATGCACAGATTTTTTTTACTCACTGTCGAGATCTCCTTTCGTGCTTCAACCCGGTAGGAACACGATTCGAATCGGGCCGATGAAGTGGAGTTCGGAAAAGTTCACCCTTGGAGTCCTTTGGCGGACGGACAGGAGGGCAGGAGAACGTAGGAAATATTATAATGTAGATACATCTGATTTCCAAAACTGTGGAAGGGGGTGATATTTAAAAAAAATTAGAGTTACACCCGGTTCCTACCCGACCTGAAAATCGATCGCCATACCAAGTTTCGCGGATCCCACCCGTGGGTCGTGTAGGGCCGATCCGGCCGGCCCGCAGCCAGCTCTGGCTTCTAAGCTTCAGAACTTGGGGTCTCTGGGTTCGTCCTTTTCTAATAGGCTGTGCTGAGGCTTTTAGCTTTCCCTTAATGCCATATTCGTTATAGCCTGTTCAGTGTTCTCATAGTTCACTACGTTCCGATGCCAGTTGTTTGCCCGAGAAAGCAAAAAAAATTGATAATCGCGTCTATCGGAACGAGGTGTCCATTTTTCCAGCAGCTGTAAGCTATTGGAGAAAAAGATCCCTCTGATAGCGCATTCGCCAGCACCCAAAATGAAACATCATTTCCAACCGAGCTGCCTCAAGTCGGGCCCGACTTGCGCCAGCTCAGCCACGTTATCTCGACTTTGAGTAGGGCATGCTCCGAATTTTCGTACGGAGTAGGTCAAGGGCCCACAAGCTTTAATAGTATAGAGTAAAGTTACGCTTCGCCGTCTTGACCGACTTGTTCTGCATACACGGAATTGAGGGTCCCCTGATGACACAACGCATCCCTTATTATTGATGCAAATCGTGGCAGTTTGAAATTCGAACGTTATCTCATTTAGAATCTTCTGGGACAGGACTCTCTTAAAATTGCTCTGAAGGGAAATTGGAGGTATTTGAATGACACAACGCATCCCTTATTATTGATCCAAATCGTGGCAGTTTGAAATTCGAACGTTATCTCATTTAGAATCTTCTGGGACAGGACTCTCTTAAAATTGCTCTGAAGGGAAATTGGAGGTATTTGCGGTTAGGGAGCATCTCCCCTACTTCATGTGGTACATAAATGATGTGAGCAGCCTAAAAGCTGCCATACAAGAAAATGGCGTGTACGTCTTACTCTTTGTAATTGCACTAGCAAATGTAAAGAGATCTGAGATTAAGGAAAAACCACTTAGTGACTTGTCGCCACCAACTGCCTTTCTTTGTGAAGAAGACCTCGAATCGAAGGAGTCGATTGAACGTTGGTGGGATGAGCACATGTTTCCCATGCTGCAAAACTCCATAGATTCCAGGATGTACCTGAAACTTCTTGCAATGTAAGTTTTATCGAAGGTACCAAATTACCTCCGAGTGTCCATTTTCAAGGGGGAAAAAAATAGAACTTTAGAGCGGAGCAGTTTGCCATGAGAGAAATAAAAATGTTATGAGTATGAATAAATGCGTCACTCACCTGCATAGTGGGAAAAAAAACTGGAATTCATTTTTTTGCGGGATCCAGCTGTTTCTGCATACGTTAAATGCACTATGGCGGTGCACCATGGCATTTTATTAAATGAAACATATTGTTGATAGTTTGATCCAAAGACGTCTAAAATTCCTATCATTATTTGGGAGATGTCAGTCACCAACTGCCACCGCTGCCTTGGGGGGAATGCGGCTTTGCAATAGGTATAAAAGTTCTTTCACACATCACCTGCTTTACTTTCTTACTTTCCTTTCAATTATTTGCACATTCATCGCGCCAATCTATGCGACCCCGGCGCACACGGCCCGGATCATGACACAGAAACTCGATTTCCTCACGGCAGACAAGCTGGACATTTTGGTGAACGGGCCCAAGGACTTCGTCGTGAAACCGGGAAGACTGGAACCGGGAACACTTGGCTCCTTCAGGAAAAAATCAGGAACATTGTGATGCCCTGGTTCCAAGTCGAACCCATTCAAGATAAAGACGAAAAAAATCATTTTTGTTTGTTATCAGGAAATTTTGGCCCGATACTTGTTTCGGACCCTTCCTGATCTCTTCACGTCCGTCGTGGCGATACGTAGAAAATGGATTCATGCAACGCACGAGAAGATCGAGAAACGGAGAGTAATGCAGATCATACTAAAAATCAAATAATCTGCTGCATGACCACTGATGAGATAGTATCGACTGGTGAATGAACCTGGATGAAGGGAAAGGACGAAGCATCATCTTTTCGAGGACAAAACAGCATATAACGAAGAAATTACACTTTCCAGTTATGACCTGGAGGATCCTGAATGCTACATGGGAAATATTCCTATTCTATCGATTTTTCCTCAGCTCCGTCGCCTCACTCCAAAGACGGGGAGATGGACGCTCAAAGCCAACATCATCCGACGCATCTTCCGCACATTCACTCCCGAGAATAACGCATTACATTTTTTTTGTATGCAACTATCAAAAGCATGGCATTTAAGGAAGTGAACCACCTGAATCAGCTGCTTTGTGAAGGATCTGTGGGTGAATCAATGCTGGGATTGTGTAATCGGTTATTTGATTACCATGCCCTGGTGATGGAACTGCCCGAAAAAATGCAGCATGCCGTGCTTGTGGACGTGGAGAAAATCCTCAAGACCCGAAAGGCCCCTTTCCACCAGGTGTTCGTCGATGAAGCTGAGGACTTCGGCGACGCATTCTCAGACCATTGGTTGACCTCTCTCCGTTGCCTCCACAAAGGAGGGAGAGGATGCTTCTGGCGGGCCTATGACCCCCTTTCATTTACAATGAGGAATATGCCCGATTCATTGAAAAGGGAGTTGGAAGGTGCTCATTCCTTTTTGACGGTGTTAAGGAACCCGGTCTCCGTCTTCCACACCTGGACCACTCACCTCGACCCAGAGAGAGACTTCCAATTGACCTATTCCCCGCACCCGCGACGCCGCATATAAAAGGGAAGAAATTCTCTCGGGACACGATTTCCAGAGCCCCAAGGTGGAAAGGTTTCACATTCGAAGTTCCATTCTCCCCGAAGAGATACTGGGAATTGTAAGAGAAAAGTTCGGTCGTGGGACACACCTTGAGGATATCGCCGTCCTTTTCGCCGATGACGGGGATTTCTTATTCCACAGAGAACGGCTGAGGAAGGAATTGCAACATCATCTGTGTGTGTCTTCCAACTATCCCCGCGACTTCTATACATCGTTCGTCTGATCTCATGTACCCCCCTGATCGTTGATGTCTCTGAAATAGGGAATCACTTATGTTGCGGCGGTTCGTTTCCCGTGCTTTCCGCCTCGCATATGTGCGCCAACGCCGGAAAGTTGTGTTGTAGTATGTAGCGGAAAATACTTTCCGTAGGTTTAGAAGGTGCGTTAGAAATGGCTAGAATCAGTTATGAACAGAAAGCAGATATACGTAGGGAGCGTATGGCCGCTCAGACCGGTGAACAGCAAGAGCCAGCGAATGCTCCGAAATAGCCCATGTCAGACGACTCGTTGAACTACGTTCCCTGCGTCGTGAGTCCACAGCTTTCGGCCTCCCGCCGGCCCTTAACTTGGGCCTGGAGGACTAACGGTTAGTCCACACGATGGTAATGTGGTGCCTTGTCGGAACATTTTGTCATGCCTCTTCATGTCATCCCAATAATTACAGTCGTTTGCCGCAGCGAGGTCACAGTCCGACATGTAAAACGACATCCCTCCCCCGTAAATAAAGTGTAACAACCGTGTTGCCTTTACACGATGACAACGTGGCGTGTTAAGTGGGACTCCGAGAAATTCATAACGAGTGACCACGGAATTTGGCGGCGAGATATTTTCAGGAATTATTCGGGAGAATTGTGCCGCAAATGCGCTTAATTCCTTCTTTGCTAAAGTCGAACAAGTTCTTGGAAATGGCCCGTACTGTTTCGGAATCGGTGGTACCTATACCAAGTGCGGAAGTGCAAACGCTCACCTCTCTCTTTCTTGACAATTACCACTCGCTTTTTCTTCTAGATTGAAGAGTACTCTCCCTCTTTCGTTCCGTGCTCTAAAGAAGTCGTGGATTCTGCTCATACAAAGGAGTAGTTTTCGATTGTACTTTTTTGGGAGCAAAACTGCTAACTCCAGTTTCGCTCACTCTTTTATAAACCCATGAGCCGATTCTCCACTCCTGTCGTCTCTCGATGAAAGTTTCTCTCGGAACGCATTTGGAATCGCGAATGGAGTTTTCCCTCAGCCAAAGCTGACAGCGCTGGCTAGTTAAAGGCAAAGGGGCTTCCAGACAGCCTTCCCTTTCAGAGTCCTAGATATGCTTCCCCCTTGACGTAGATTGGACGTCAGTTAATAGAAAATAAGAAAAGCTGGAAGTGGACCATACGTCAGGGACTACATGTGTATTATCGAGTTTTTTTTCCCGACTGCATGGTTTCAACCTGGGGTAATGTGCATCGTATTACATACGGCTAAGATTACTCATTCCCTGCACGTTCCGCATGGTATTATTATTATTGTATTATGTATTATTGGCAACACATCCGCTCGGGCGATTCATGCAACAGGAAAAGATAGTTCCGGAAAACAAATGTTTTCCATGGCTGTCTGACGTCGTGAGAAACTACATTTCATCTGTTCTATTTATGACGACACCAGAGACGTGGCAACAACTATCGTCTTTTCCTGTAGGTGCGGCGATTCTCACGGTATTCATACCGACACCTGCATAAAACCCGGGGCGTTGCGTCGCTCGCCGCCGAGAAGGGGAGAGACATCTGTCCCGTTCGTCGAAGAGTGCAACTTTTACCGGTCCACATACATCGGTTTCGACATGATCATCGTGAGTTCATCTCGAACGAGTTCATGCGGATGACCCCCTCCGATCGCGAAAATGGGAACTCCAGCTCTCTCGTTGCAGAATCTGTTGGTTTCCCTGCTGGGGATCCTCGCCCTGGCGTGGCCGTCGGGGTCCCAAAACTGCGGAGGCACCCTCGAGGACGCCGTGGGCGAAATGGAGTCGCCGGGCTATCCCGAGGCTTATCCGCCCTTCTCCCATTGCGTCTGGCAGATTCGGGTGGGCTCTCGTTTTTCCCTTTCAAATTTCAATGTTGAACTTAAAATGTTACATTTTAATTGCGCTATTCCATGTGATAGTATAATAGATGCCAAAGACCTGAGTAAGAAAATTCACTGTAATCCTATTGTTCCTGGCTTTTAAGACATCGTATATTCACATTTTGTGGGAAAATGAAGTGCAGCTTTTGAAATTATATAACAGTAAAGTCATAAAAAGCCTTTTTTATTTAATGAAAATGCATAGTGATTCCATTTCGGTGATTATCTTGTTGCATCGTGATTCCCGAGAATGTATAGCTTCTCCAGTTGTTCCCTTGGGATTTAAACTGCAAATACTGAACACAATGGAAAAGGGTTTTGAATTAGTTCGAATTGGTTGGAGTGAAATTTTCAACGTGCCGAGACGCGTGAGGTTTTTTTCGCGCGTGTTCCAGGCGCCTCCCACCCGAACGATCCTGCTGTCCTTCGTGGATTTCAACCTAGAGGCGACGGACGACTGCGTCAGCGGGGATTTCCTCACCGTTGAGGACTCGGAGGGGGGGTCCAACGTCTATTGCGGGAGGGACCATCCGTGGTCCATCGAGTCGAAGGACAACTTCCTCAGCGTCAGCTTCTTCTCGGACGCGGACGACGAGGAGGGGCACGAATACCGATTCAAGTTGTCGTATATCACGATTTCCAAGTGCCTTCGGAATTGGCAGGAATTCGGATCGCATTGCTATTTTTTCTCGAGCGACGAGAAAAACTTTTTCGAGGCCAAAAGCAACTGCACCAATCAAGCGACCGGAGCGCGTCTCGCCAGCGTGCATTCGAGGGAGGAACAGGTTTTCCTGCAGACTTACGCCAAAAGAGCGACGCTCTGGCTCGGGGCGGAACCGACGGGGCCGGGACTCAATGCTTCACCGTGGAATTTCGATTTCATCGATGGGAGTCCCGAAGACTATCATAACGTGTGGGGAGGAGAAGACCCTTGGATCCTCGGTGGATGTAACTCCTCTGCGACCTGTGGAATTGAATTAGTCCCCGACAGATGGCAAAATATCGACTGTCAGGAAAGGAAGCAAGTTCTGTGTACGTCTGACGTTGCTTACGACGGAGATTGGTACGACTGCGACGATTTCTACGTCCACTTATCGAGCGGAAAAATGAATTTTTACGATGCCGAGCAATATTGTCTGGACTTCCCGGGAGCGCAAATGCTGAACGTCTCCAACGACGATCAACAGGGCTGTCTTAGCCTCCGCTTCGGCGACCACTTCACCACCTCTTTCCAAGACGCAACCCTCGACGACACTGCCTTTTGGATCGGACTGACGAGGGCCAACGGGACGTGGGAGTGGGTGAACGGGTCCCCACTCCAGTACGAGAGGTGGGACGTCGGTTACCCCGAGGGTAGCTCATCGGATTGCGCGGTCATGGTCACCTCGTCTTGGGAGGATAGCATGGCGACCAATAACCATTCCTTCGTGTGCAAAATATGAGCCTCTGATCCGTTCCCTCAGTATTGCCGATGAGACAATTCTCATTTGAATTTTATTGTACATACTACTATGCATTGAATAAAATGAGCAACTGATTGAATTTTGTGCTGCAAGGTGGCGCACCAGACCCCATAATCAAATCACCTTCATTGCATGTAATTATTAACCTTGATGACGGGATTAAGTAATCAAGAATCGACCGCCTCGCCGCTTTCTCTTTACTTTTTTAGTACTTACGGTTACTTCAGTACCGCCTTCCCTACTGCGAAAATAGGGCTATTCTCTCCTTCCCATGTGAATCCTGTGCACCTTCTACGGTGGGAGTGGGATGCTCTGTCTTCACCCTTTCTCCCTTTACACACTATTCCGAATGCTAGAAGCAAACCGAAGTAAGCGGAGAGCTGTTTGTGACGCCACAGTGCTGCACACCTTATATGTAAAAGGACTACGAGGGAACGGGTTTTCTGCCATCAATGTATGTACACTTATTTATTGCGAAATCGGAGTGCTGTATTACATACCTGTTCAGATCTAACCCTCAGATGTAAGATTTGTATCTGTAAGGAAAGCAAGTACATAGTTGACCCAATATTGAGCTAATTACCAAATAATGAATGTTCATTGCCAATGTTCTAACCGATGTCCTGTTTTGACTTCCGTGTCAGTTGACAGTCGTCAAAATTAAGATTAAAACGCTGTCGTGACGAATAGTTTGGGGAGGTACCCCGTTTCCTCACCCATTCATTAGACACGTAAAATGTACTGGAAACCGGACTACCAATTAACGAAAACAACTTTGGCCTCAAAAACCCCGTCCAATGAAGTCGCCTTCTGGAACCTTGTTGACCAATGAAGAAGGCTGTCGATCTAGGAAACTCCTCCTCTGAAGCCAACAACAGAGGAATAATGAGGAGTGAGAAGTTGGTTCCGACTCGATCGTGGACTCGGCCCTGCCGCTTCACTGTGGTCTTCCCTCCCTCAAAATTATTCTTTTCTTTTTTTCATCTCCTCCCAAGTAAATATTGGAAGCGTCCCATTGTTCCCGTACGTTTACCTTAAGTCCGAATCAGTGACGAGTGTCTGAGAGCGGGATGAGTGACTTTTCTTTTTTTAGCCTGAGTTGTGTTTCGAGTTAGGTACTGGGGACATTGAATGGGTAAGGGACTAAGCCTGGGATAGGCGTCAGTTAACCTGGAAATATTCAAAACCCTATCGTTTATTCAATATCAGAGACGGATCGGTTCTTTTTCTGTTCACTAAGGATACTATTACATTTTGTTCCTTTTGGTTTTGAAACTTTCTTCCAATTTCAATTTTGCATTCACTTTTGCGTTCTTTCTCGTACAGTGAAATTTATTAAATTATTATCAGAAATATTTATAAGAAATATATTAATCAGACTCGGTGTGGTGATACTTCATTCTCGAACTTGAACAAGCATGAATTTCGCTCACCTAAAGGAGATCGTGGAGCTTTGCCCAGTGCGAGGCGGGACATGATGATTAAATTGAGACATGGCTGAATTTGAGAATTTAAGGAAGAATATGAAACAATCAATTAAATGCTGGCTGTTCGTAATGAACCGAATCTTCAACACATTGAGACTGCATTGCCCAAGTCGTTTATAAGCTATTAGGTACAAATTATTTTTTCACATTTTCTTTCGTCACGGTCTCAATATTGTTTCGAAGTGGAGGAATCCACATCATCTCGACGGAAAATAGGTTCTAGCGATTGGAGCGAGATGACGCCTAATCGCCAATTTAGCTGCCCTAACCCTGATGCCTAAAAAGTATAGTTCACTGGGGTTTTTCGTTCAGTACGCGATCTGTTCCCACGTGCAACTTAAGAGAAAGCTTTGGAATTCCTTGATAGACCCTAGAAGAAGATAATCCGGCAGGAGACTCCAGGCACTTCTGGTCAGAGGGTCCGAAGACACTTGGCCATTTTGCATACCTCACTTCAAAGTGCACCAAATGATTCGGGCTTTGATATCTCTTTCGTATCTCTTTCGAGAATGGTAGTATGTTAACCGGCCTGCGAGGGTGTGTTTAACTTTCCTCCTGCGTGGGAGATAAAATAGGGGGTGATACCAGGCACGTAACTCAACGAGGAAAGGAAACGGAAAGCTTATTACACGATATATTTGAAGTAAATCCATGACAACCTTCCTAATATATATATTTTTAAATTGTGAAGAAATGGGCGATTAGAAGAATAAACCAATTATTTCCTCCATTATTGTGTATTCTAAGAGAATGTAATGAAGCCGATTGTAAGTAGGAGTGCAGGATGAGGACTTACTCTCAGTTCTTGGCGGAAACGGACTTTCCAATATGTTTCCCTGCTTCTTTATTTTCAAATTTTGTCACAACCCAAGTTGTACAAGAGTAGCACAGGAGTTGCCAATGCCCATAGACACAGAGGTTTAACAACTTGATATTGAAGTTCACAGATAAGATATATCTCCGAGGGGGAATATGCCTAGAGATCCATTCGATGACAGTCCTTCCGACGATATCACTCTGGACGAGAGTCCAAAGGTTTCATCCATATCTGTACAACAGCAGTGAATAGAATGAGGAAATCCTTGGTATGTTGTGAGTGAAGTGAATATACAACGATCAACTTCTACTGCATCGGATCTGTTGGAATCTCTACCACACAACATCCCCCACTTTACAATTATCCGGCTTTCTTCCATCCAGGTACGTGGTTGTAAGGCCGTCATGAGGAATGAAGGAACAGCACTATGGAGCAATATTGGGAATTGACCAGAAAACCCAACCCTCATTACCTCTTTCCAGGGAATTCCAAATGCACATTTATTCATTGCCTGCTTTCACGGCTAATTTTTCATGATTGAGGGCATGTTAGAGATGCGGACTGCGTGAGAGACAAAAACCATGAACATGATCCTTACCTGAAGCCGTGCGCACTATACCGAAACATGTAACGAGCCATAATTGGTTATCAACTGCAACTTGGGAATGAGCTCCAAAGAAAGTATTTCATTCACGAATGATTTCTTGTGGAAATGTGAGCCCCTCCCGTTAAGTAATGAGAGGTAGGAAACTCATGCGGATTCGAAGTATTTCATTGGGACAAGCCGACGTCAATTTTATACACGGGAAGTCTAGAAAAAGGCTTCCTATAGGCGACTTTCCCCTTTAAGTGGACGCAGATCTTTAAAATATGTGGTTGGTTGCACTGGCATTCTTTTATCTTGAAACATCACTCAAAGAGTGTGATTTGCATTATCCTGATAGAAACAAGAAAAAATTATGAACTTGACTTACTTCTTTTTAAATATTATATTATATCCTTAATTTCAGATTAATTAGCGCAAAAGGTGCATATTTTATGCAGGAACCGTTTCTCGAGGAATGGGCCTCATCTTCCCTTCCACCTTAAGCCCGCCGCACACAAGGTAATTTTTGTCATGCGGCCGTCGCTCCCCACGATATTGCTCCTTGTGTGGGGGAGATGCGATGTTGCGGTGATGTAGGCGGGCCGTAATTCTAGTATTGACGTATCACATTGCTTGCATATTCCTCCGTGTGCCCCCGGGGGCTCATCTTCGACGGTCGCACGACAAGAAATACCTCGTGTGCGGCGGGGTTATGCTTATCTGCTGGTAACTACCAATTCCTTAATGAAAGACGCAAGTTTCTAGAACCATTTCGATGAGAGCGAGTTATGTTACACCTTCAATCGAGTTTCTTGAAAGATCTCGCCGATGCCGACGGGTAGACAGCCTGTCACCAGATTCGACATTCAACACTCATCCGCACGTGCCATTTGCTTGGCACATGCGCACGGTATGTTGGGATATTGTTGAAACTTATCTCCTTTCAAAATTGAGGCAAACTATGCTGATTCGATGTGGCAACGAATGTTNAAAATTGAGGCAAACTATGCTGATTCGATGTGGCAACGAATGTTCATCAGCACTTCCTCATCATTGTGGGTGTTGTAACTTCAATCCTGTTGCAACGTTGCATCAAAATGGTCTTGTATAACGGCATCACGTAAAGGCATAACGGCAATGCTGCCTGTCACGGTTACGAGAACTCTAACTCTAGGTTCGATGAATTAAAAATGTAAGGCTCCTGTGGAATGAGCTTCCTAAATCCTGAATATATTGGGTGTTATCACAGCTTAAGCACGAAAATTTGAAGCCATAATTTTGCCCCTTTGCAAAAGCAATTACTTCAGGAGAACGAGTGAAAAAGTTACAAATTTTGTTTTTGAAAATTTTGAAGAAATCAAATATAAAGAATCACGGTGAAAATGCTTGTAACTAGACCAGTTCCAGAGAGTCTCTCATGCTCATTGATGCTAGTCCACATATGCATGTATTTCGTTTTGACGTCGCTACAAAATCCGGCTATGTGTACTTGAAGGTTGCAAATGTAGCCATATCTGGCTAACTTTGACTTTCAATGTGTTCTCTTTAATTCTAAGATATGTCTTTTCAACAGAATGTTAATTTCTCAAAGCGTTTTCGAACCATAATATCCGCATTGTATGTAACATAAATCATTTCTTATTCCACTTCTTAAAATTAACAAGTCTGATCTAGGGTTATGGACGGTGGAGACGCATTGAGATGTCTGAAGGGAATCTTCAAAGACCGGAATATTCTGATCGACATGAACCTTTTCCTCGATAATTTGGCGGAGAAGGATCTTATTTCCAAGGCGGAAGAAATGAATCTGAGGGAACAAGAGTATTCCAAAAAAATCGATGACGTATTCTTGATTCTCTTCCAAAGAAACCCCAAACCGACACTAAAGAGGGTCTTGAAGATTTTGAAGAAAATGGATCGACAAGATATCATCGCGAAGCTTAAAGAAGCATTTGGTGAGCCCACATCCGACAACGCCCATTATTGACCCACGCCTTACTTTACTGCATTATAGTGACGGTAAAAAAATTAGGATACAAACGAGGTCCTTAGAAATAGTGAGGATCTTACGAATCATGAACTTCTTTGAGGGATGGAAATGGGATTTCAACGAGGGCGTCCTTTTCGGGTTGTGGGAACGAGGACTGCAAACCTCACGAAATCAAGTTCAAGTTGATGGCTGCAGAAATTGTGCGTGTTTTTGTGTGTGTGTAGGTGGTGGGAGGGGGTGGATGTGCGCGCGAATATATGTCTATTCCATCATATCCAGGTGAGAAAGCGAAGTACCTCTGTTCCAAAGAAGACAATCTGATAAGTAAGCAAATATATCAATTCAAGTCGTCTCGCCTCTATTTCTTGGAATAGCAAAGAGGTGTTCTCTAACAGGAGTAAGCTGTTCGCTACCGTTGAAATTCAGATATGCAGCATTTTGAGGTATTATGCAGCAAATGCATCCAAAATAAGAGGACATGTTTCGCATGAATACTATCACATATGGTGGAAAGAAAGCGAGTTCAGCTTGAAGAATGTTCTTCAGTGTCATTGCTGGCTAGGCATCAACGTGAAATCAACTTTTTCAAATATTCGCTTCAAAAGTCTTACTCTCATCGCTCTAAAAGGAACGCTAAGTAAGCGTGAAAAAATTGCTAAAAATGCCATGCTTAAATGAGTGACTTTTTAACCCTTCTCAACGTTCATTCACGCTTAAATGAGAGTGACTCTCATCGCTCAATCACGCTTAAATGAGTGACCCTTCACTTTCATTCACGCTTAAATACGAGTGAGTCAGCTTTCACTCACACTTATATGAGTGATACTCAGCCTTGCTTCCAAACTGTCACGCTTAAATTCACGACTCATGCCTCTCTCTTAATAGTGGAGAAATTGACCACCTTGATTGATCACCTCCTCCATTAAAATGAAGGAGATGAAAGGGGTATCTATTTATCTTGACTATTTTTTAGAACTTTTTGTTTTTACTATCTAATATATATATAGACGATCGTGACTGACTGACTGACTGACTGACTGACGCTAATTCTAACCATGTTCTCGAAGGGTTAGAAATCAACATGATATTACTGAGCTGAGGGAGTATTCAGATTTCATGGGGCATCCCCTCCGGGCATAGCTTTTGGGTTTGTCGGCTTTTGCAAGCATGTTTTTTCAACAGCGAAAAGGGCAAACGTATAATAATGAAAATTTGTGGGCATGTAGTTCACCGGGCAGACATAGAAAAGTAGCTGGCGCACGCATCACTGACGTGATGTGATGATTTAAGGAAAAATTAATATTTTTTATACTTCTCCTCAAAGCACAGCTTTTGGATGGGTTACTTTTCCAAGTACATTTTTTCTGCCAGTAAAAAGTGGTAACGTATAAGGCTGAAACTGGGTGGCAGGGAGATCCCTGAGTCTACATTTCAAAAGAAAAATAATTTTCGTTAAAAGACATCAGGGCACTTTTTTCAGTCCCATTTTCCTTTTTTTTTGATCTAACGAAACAGAGACAGAAAATTTAAACTTCCCTCAGAAGTACCTGTTTGATGACTGAGTAGAGGGAAAATCGTAATAATTAAAAATGTCTCCTTAGAGCAGATTATTGGAGGGAAGTATTTCAAAATGTATTCTCCACCCTTCCAAATAGGGGCACAAGAAAATATTTCAAGTTAGACCCACCTAGCGTTAGGGTGGGTCGGCTTTTCCAAACATGTTTTTTTTCACCAGCGGAAAGTGGAAAAAAATATCTGTATGAAAAAAATGGTATGTTAAAATTGCTCAGGGCACATATTTCGGAAAAGGCGTATTTTCACGAATTTTCTCATCCAGCAAAACAAAGGGCGCATGAAAGTTAAAAAACTTGGGAAATAAGTACCTGATGGATAGATGCGTAAAGAAAGAATCATACTTTTCTAATTAGACGATTGTGACTGAGATTGTGACTAACGCTAATTCAAAAAGGGGAAACGCATGAAACGTTTACCAAAAGGGACACAAGAAAAGATTTACAGTTAGCACACATGGAATCATAGAAGTAAAGAGTTTAATAAAAATCACGACTTTCGACCCCATATGTCACGTATTTCAATGGGGATGTACTTTAAAATACGTGTTTCCCATTTCGCTAAAAATGAATGAATTAATTGCTATCCAAGATAATGGAGCGCCGAAGGCGCGACCATAGCGAGTTTGTTTGCCCGAAGGGCAATCAAACTCGCTAGTTTAGAATATTGCTAAAAATGTAAAATGAGCTATCATCTGTCAGAGGTATCACATGTTCTAGTTTTGTGCTTTGGAATAATCAGCTAGAATTCAGAATACAATGGAAATATTAAATTAGCAAGAAATGCACAGTCAGAAAGATTTATTTAAAAATAACAAAAATACACTATTGAAAAGGTAGAAAAAGACTAAAATACATTTTAAGAAAGATTTTAAAAAATTAATGAAAGGCTGCAAAATGTGTGAACGATGGTACAATTAATAGAAGATATTGCAAAATCGCACCACAAATACTCATCCCACTAGTTGTGATTAAATGTTTTAACCTGGCAGTCAAGAGGTATTTGGGGTATTTGTCATTTTTCTTCAGGACAGATTGAAGAAGTTCAAGAAATTGTGCAAAAGCACTTGGGTATTGGAATTTTTTTAGGTAGAATATACCCATGAGAGTGCCAACTGCTCTATCAATGGTGCACGTCTTCCTTAATTTGAGCAGCTTATTTTGGCACACAATAACTTTCTCCTCCCTTCCAAAGACCTTTCGCCCAGGAACATCACATCTTATTGGACCACTGAAAAAAAGCAGCATTAGTAAGTTGACAGTTCACAGTTTCCCAACCCGATGTTTTTCCTTGCTTCTTTTGCAGGATGGCTCTCATTGAAGCGGCACCTCCTACGTCTTGCAGCAAGGCGTGAAATGAACAGGTTCTGTAAAATAAAAAATGGAAAGAGCCTTAATGCAATGAATTTCCCATTCAAACCCCATTATATACAGTTTCCCAAGAGATACAAATTATGCAACGCATCAGAGGGCTATACCAACTTGGAACTACGACATGCAAAATTGGCATGAAAAAAAAAAGTTTATTATTGGCAAGGAAGTAAAATTGCTGAAAGTCATGATTGGATAGCAGAGCGAGGGGTACTTCTGTGTGAGGCCTTCTTTTTCATCCCATTGAAGCTTTGTTTACCTCTGGCTCAGAGCTCTTGCAAGTTCATGAAATTGCCATCGTAATTTAGTCGTATTTTCAGAGAGCTGCGGATAACATTTAATAGAGGGAAAAAATTAGACTTCACCATAACATGTCATATAATATACACGATTGTGACTGACTGACGCTAATTCTAACCATGTTCTAGAAATGATGAGAGGCTGAAACTTGGTAGACAAATAGCTGTTAGATTGCTGACTCCAGAAAAATTCCAACTTTGGGAGTAAGTGTCCTGGGGGCTCATTCCAGGGGGTCTCATTTTGTAAGCCTAGGTCTAGCCCTCAGACGGACGCTTAGGCCTGAGCCATTCTCAGGCTCACCTTGTCTTCAACAAAACGGAAGGAACGTGAATAGCTGATGGGTTGACGACTCCAGAGAAAGTCTAACTTCGAATGCCCAACTTTGGGGGTCCATGCCCTGGGGGCACGTTTTGGGGGAGGGGTGGGAGGACTGATTTCGCAGGCCTAGGCCCAACCCATGGGTGGATGCTTAGGCTAATACCACTCTCATACATTTTCTTCCATCATGCAAGTGGGAGAGAAAATAAATAGTTGTTTCATTCTACACCTTGGATGAAGTTCGATATAGAAGGTACGTGCCCTGAGGGGATTGAGTTAGTAGGCCTATAGGTAACCCTTGGAGAGACGCAGAAGCTTACAAAAACATTGCCCGAACTATTCGCATCGAGGTAGCTCGTACTTCTCGGTCCATCTGACCTAGCATCCTTTTGTCTGAGCCTAACGAGCTAGGCGTTCGACTTATGCCGCTAGGTCATTGGTGAAGAAAAGGACACGAGTTGACGCGTACTGGTACGCTTGCAGATGCGAATGGGTCCTATTTATTTTTCTGGCAGGGAAACTGTAGATATTCCATTGATATTTTGATGTAAGGTGGCTATGTCTAATCCACTTAAAGACGCTTAGGCTAATGCTCGCACTTCAACAAAACGAGAAGGAATTGCTACGGGCTGCATTTACGGAATGACGTGCTTTTTCATAGACAACTATATGGAATCTTTAGAAGAGTTTGAAAAAGGGACTCCCATAGTCATTTCGCCAGAATATAAAATTAACGATACAGATCCCTACAGTCGAATTGGAATTATCGCCTTGAAACTCAGAAATAATGAGCTTACGTGTGTGCTGCCTAGCCCCTCCCCCCCAGATGGAGGTGTAGGCTTACGCCATTCTCATGAACACGTTCCTTTTTCAGTCATTGAAGGAAGTGTGTCTTATTGCTACGTTCTTCCCCTCAAGAGGAATTCAGACTTCGGAGGGAGGGGGGTGTACACGCCCTGGGGACAAACTTCAAGGGACTAATTTCGCAGGCCAAGGCCTACCACATGGATGGACGCTTATACCAATACTACTGTCATGCATACTCCTCAAAGGAAACAGGATGGAAAATAAATAGCTGTTGGCTTGCATACTACAGATACAATTCGACAATGGAAGTACTTGCCCTGATGGGAATGAATCAGCAAGCATATATCCAACCCTTGGATGATCGTTCAGGCCTATTTCGATCTTTAATATTAGTCATCTTAACGTTAATACTCTCAAGTGGCTTACGTGGTTCATATGGCTGCTATTGCCCCTACTTTTTTGGCTACAAGTGACACCATAACACTCCATCCACACTGTTCCTAAAATAAAAGTATGTGAATAGGCTGGCCATTAAAAAATCTAACAACCCCATTCAATCACTTTTCTTCATCTATATACAAGAAATGTCACAAACTCGAATACTACTGCTTCCTTTCATAAAAAAGAACAAGAATTGCAAATAAATTAAAAGCCTGAGACCGATTTCATGTTTGAGGGAGCAGTACACATTTTGCATGCAAGAATATTGCATACAAAGATGCATTCATTCTTAGTTACTTTCTTCCTTTTTTTCTAATTTTCTTTAATTATTTTTCACCCTTCTTTTCAAGATATGGGTTGCAATCAACTGCAACCACACTAGATACATATTCTATAACGTAGCATATATGAGTATGTTGTACAGGCTATCCACAGCAGTATTATTCATTGATGCATTGATCCAAAAATGCCCACACTTCAAGACCACCAAGTTCTTTCCATTGATATGATACCTGAGCATAGGCCTTGGATAAAGCAATGCATGAGGAACACCTCTGATATAATTTTGACACAGAATGACTTCAAAGGAATTTGAAGAGGCATGAAAGAACGTGACAAATGCAGGATTGCAAAAAAGAACCACTTCTCACTATGCTGGATGATTCTGGATATGGATACCAATTGAGCACAATTCTTACTTGCATCAGTCATGTACATCACAACGTTCAATTTCACCCCATCAACTTCAATGTCAATTGGCTTCAACGGATTCAATTAAAAGTGGAGACAGAATGGTTCTACTGTCAGATCCACTGCCCTAGATTCTGTACCTGAATATCCCCCTTCAATGAAATCCCTCATCACTTTTTTGCCCATCCCAGAGTTCACTTGAATAAAGTATCTGGATATGTTCTGCAATTGAGATGGAGAGATTTCCATAGTTGGAGAACTTTCTTTTTGCAGTGGCATTATTCCCCTCCATTCTCATTGCTTAATGATGTCTAGCTGGTCCGTGCAAAGTGATTTAATCTGTAACATGTATAACCATATGTAACAACTGATGCAATGACAATTGCATGATCTGGGAAAGAAGGAAAAAGCATTTTAATGGCTCATAATCTTCATCCACAACATCCCAGAGAAATAGCAGCACATGAAGAGCCAGCACCTCCACAACCCTGGCTTTGGCTATGACATCAAAGTATTTTTCAAACTTCCTTGGCCTGTCACACACTCTTACTGAGTGATGGTAAATGAAGCTGGACATTTTGTTATGTATGGTCTGGTGGTTTTGCCATCTGTCACCAGTCTCCTAAGGAAGAAAGTGATTTATTTAGGCAAACTGCCTTCCTGCAGAATATGCATGGGGTCATAGAGTAGGTCCCTCATGATAGAGAAAAATGGTATCTCAAGAAGAATGCTTCCACTCTTGACACCAACATCTTTTAACAAGACCGTGAATTCAACAATATATTTCTCCCTTGCAGCTCTCATCACAGTTACATCCTGTTTATGCAGCTCATCCATGTGAAGGGGACACTCATCGTGTGAGAACACTTCTGGAAACTTTCTGGTCTGAAATCGGCATGTTCTGCATGACCCATAAACAGATGGAAATACGCATTCCTGAGAGCCAGCAATATTGTGACATGCAAGTGAATCCCCAACAGTCAAGAACCACTCAATAGAAGAGTTTCTTTCCTTGAGCTGTGGTAAATTTGATTCCTGAAGTGGCTAGCAGCAGGAGGGTGGACTTGAAGTCATTTAACTCTTCAGCCTTTAATGCTGTTAATTTCACAGCATCAGTGTGGGCACATGCAATGAGGTGCATGTACTTCAACTGGGAGCTGTGAATAAATGGGACATTCAAGAAAGATGGAAAATAAACCCAATTTCTCCTTCCCTCCTCTCCGCATGCCTAGAGGATTTGCCATTTCAATATCACCATATAGACGCATGAGAATAACATTCTCATGGTGGAATTTGAGGAATGTATGAGAGAGGAAGCGAGATCCAGATGTATGGTCTCTAAAAATATTATCCTCTCTAAATTTTTTCCACTGAACCACTGAGCCAAGAGTAGAACTCTTGAGTTTGAAGTAGATACTGGAACAATTTCGTTACTGGGATGATATGGTCATGCTTTCCATTGCTGCGCTCCTGGTACTTTGGGGGAATATAAACAGAGGAATTTTCATAGAATGCCTTCCTTTTCTTGTCAGTCTAAAACTTTGTAACACCGTTCAGCTTCTCTGCCTTTTGCTCAACAATGAAGCTCATTTTATCAACAACAATGTCGATCAATGACTTTGAAGCTCTATGTCTACCTTCCAGTTCCCGGCATATGTTACTCAGTGAAGCCTCATCTGACACTACCTCAGTCTCTAACACATCACGCTCTCTCTTTCGGTATCCACAATCATGCAATATTAACTTGGGTGATTCTGTCTCCATGTCCAATGTTGAGACGTTTAGGTCATAAGAATAATCATGGCATTGAGCTACCTCAGGACTAGCACTCCCACTAGGTTCAGCTTTATTGAAAATAGTATTGCCAACTGTTTGAATGCACTGAGTGAGGTGGTCTTTGTAGGCAGTCATGGAATGTCTGTAACGTTAACAGCTGAAGCAAACATACCCCTTGACTGCAGTCCCATGCTTATGTCGGATGAGGCCCATGGACTAGGTCATTCTCAGTGTTAGTCACACCTTTGGGAGTAATGCAGATAAGCCTTTTTCCTAATGGTACGACTTACCATGTTCGCAGGGTCTGATGCAGCAGTCAGAAATGTGGTACTCAACATCTTCGTTTTTTCTCCTACTCCCCCAATGTCACCTGTTAGGGAACACATAATTCAGAGCATCTGTATACACTATAAATAATGTTGCCTTTTAGGCTCAATTTGAATGGGTCAATTAGTCCAAAAGTGAGTGCATGTATAACAACTAGGAATTATGAAGGAACAGTTTTCTTACTGAAATTGGTGTGTGACGGTGGTGAGTGCCCACAATAGGCACATTCAAGTAGAAATTTCAACGACCTCATGTATTAGTCCCACTCACAGCCATCTATTTGGCAGCATCCTCTTCCTTTGCCTCTTGGGTCAATATTATAGTT